AATAAATATATTATATTATCAAGAATTTGGTTTTATCTCTCTAGAGAACCCTGTCTAACACAAAGACCAAAAAAATAATCAATGCATTTGAATAAAGGTGTTAGTGAAGAATACTGAAAATATCATTAATGACCAGACAACCACCAAATTTGTGAAGTACAACCAGAATGCTTCTTAGAAGCAAGAATTCATCTCACATATTTTGGACATGGTATCGGGAAGGACCAGCCTCTCGAGAAGGACAAAGTGTGTGGGAGAGTCAGCACAAAAAGAGGAACACCCTCGATGAGGTGGATGGACAAAGCAGCTGTGCCAATGGGTTCAAAAAGGGCAGTGATTGTGAGGGAGCAGAACAAAGCAATGTTTCCTTCGGTTACACATACGGTCACATCGTTCAGTACCTTCTGTTGGTCAGAGCTAAAATCCTGGGCTCTGTGCTTTTAAGAAAATGTGGCCAGGTACCACAGAACAAATCAGTTGAGGCTGACTGCTCCTGTCAAGACTTAGTCTGAGAAACCCTACACAGGGCTAAGAAGTTGAAATCTCCTCCATGACAGGTCTGACTTTTGAATCACTGTCACTACTACCTGTTTATTAATACGTATACTATAAAATGATCCACGGGTCATAGCTGCTTGTCCATGAAGATAAGCAAGTTAATCTGTCCCGTCCCACAGGATATTTGGAGTCAGGACAAAAATAATCTCCTTGATGTAATTCAGAAGTGAAATTTGGGTAATAGATGGGGGGTGGGAGGGGGCGGTACCTTCTTCAGGAACCAAAAAAAGGCAAGGAATAAAAGCTGACATAGTGAGAGAGAATTCTGACAGTGTTCCTTTAAGACTCTGACCCAGTTATTATATGTGTCCCTCCTCATTTGAGTATACAGCCATTTCTTATGTTTCCTTGAAGCATCCAAAGTCCTAATAAATCCCTTCTTTAGCTCAAATTAGGATTCTGTCACTTGTACCTAGAAAGGTCGTAATACATATAACAAAAATTCTAACATAACCCAATCAACCTTTTCAGTCTCATCTATTCCTTTCCCCAACTCCCTGGCAAAATGTCCTATAGCCTTAACACACCAGTCTCCTGATCATTCTCCAACACGTGGGATCATTTAAGGCTCCTGTTCCATCTTGTTTACGCAATCTATCTAGAAGGCCTTCCAACAACACGATGCCATCTTTTACATATAAAAATCCATCATTTTTTTCAAGAGCGCAATTAAACAGTGACTCAACAGCCCTAATCACAACAATTAAACATCTTTACCATGTTGTCTTCCCTAATCCTAATTCTTTATTACTGCTATTACAGTAACCTTACATTTTACTTTCTAACCATAAGAGATCTGTGATAACAGGAGCCTAATTTTGCTGCTTTTTTATCCTCCTTCCCAATAATTTCCCATATTGTCTAATATGTCTGGGACTCATTTAGTACGTGCTGGGAGGCACATGCAGTTGCAAAACCACAGAATTTAAGGTTAGTGAAAATGTACTACTACTAGGGTTCTAGCTCATACATGTACAAGTTTGTTCCAGACAAATGGTGTTCAACAAGACCCGTGACCAATGGATGGCTGCAGACAAGTTCTTACAGTAACACACTTGTGTTAGCCTCATTAAGGTGCCTTCAAAAATGAGAATACTTTTTGGACCATAGGGCAAAAACAACTGATGCTGAGGGTGGGGCTTAGATCAAATGCTTAACAAAACTCTAGTGGACATCTTCTCAAATCACTTAAGTTTTGTAATGTTTGCAGGATTGCTAGCTGACTAAAAACAGATGGATCAAATGTTCTGAAGAAGGTTAGGAAGATCTCAAAGAGAAGCAAGGCAGAGAGATCAGCTCAGAAGTAAAGGGTATTTTCTGCCTGTGGACTCCATGGAGGGAGCATTAAGGTCCCCACCCCGCAAATATCATGTCTAACTCAAATCTCCTAAGGAGCTCGAACAGCTTTGGAAACTCTTCATCAGAAGGTTGAACTTTGAAACAGATGAGTCTCTATGGAACCATTTTGAGCAATTGGGGGGGGGGGCACTCACGGACTGTGTGGTCATGAGATACAAACACCAAGAATTTCAGAGGCTTTGGGTTTGTCGCTTACTCTGCTGTGGAGGGGGGACCCAGCCATGAATGCGAGGCCACACAAGGCGGATGGAGTTGTGGAACCAAAGAGGACTGTCTACAAAAAGACTCCCAAAGACTAGGTGCCCATTTAACCGTGAAAAGATGTTTGTCGATGGCATCGAAGAGGACACTGAAGATCACCACCTACAGGATTATTTTGAGCATTATAGGAAAACTAAAGTAACTGAAATGATGACTGATTGCTGCCGTGGCAAAAAGAGGAGCTGAGCTCTTGTAACGTTTGATGACCATGGCTCCACAGATAAGACTGTCACTTCGGACACAGCATACCGTAAATGGCCATGGCTGTGAAGTAAGGAAAGCCCTGTGGAAGCAAGAGATGGGCAGTGCCTCTTCCAGCCACAGAGGCCAAAGTGGTTCTGGAAACTGGTGGTGGCCAAAGAGGTGGTTTTAGTGGGAATGACAACTTTGGTTGGGGCAGAAACTTCAGTGGACATGGCGGCTTTGGTGGCAGTGGTGGATACGGTGGAGTGGGTATGGTTATAGTGGATTTGGTAATGATGGCTGTTATGGAGGCGGCGACCCTGCTTACTCTGGAGGAAGCAGAGGCTACACAAGTTGTGGACAGTTTATGGAAACCAGGTCAGAGGCTATGGTGGGAGTGGCAGTTATAATAACGACAGAGGTGGCTTTGGCAGTGGTAATGGAAGCAATTTTAGAAGCTATAATGATTTTAGCAATTACAACAATCAATCTCAGTTTCGGACCGAGGAAGTGAGGAAACATTAGAGACAGAAGCTCTGGTCCTTATGATGGTGGGGGTAAATACTTTGCCAGACCGCAAAATCCAGTGGTTCAAGGAATGTCAGTGGCACAAGATTTTAATGATTACAGGAAAGGAGAGGCAGACAAGTGAAAGGGAAGCCACAGGTTACAATAGATTAGTGAACTCAGCCAAGCACAGCGGTAGGACAACAAAGAAGACGTGTTTTAGACAATACTCATGTATGGGCAAAAGAACTTGAGGACTATGCTTGAGACTAATTGTATAAAGGTCATTTTAGTTTCTGTTCTGTGGAAAGTGTAAAGCATTCCAACAGAGTTTATTTATTTATTTTGCAATCATGCTATCACTAAATTACTGAGAAAGAGTAATTATAAAAAATTCGACATTTCTACCAGTTATCAGCTAGCTCTATCTTAGCACTGAAGAAAACTATATTCTTTTTTTTTAAATCATTTTACTGAGGCCATACATCCATACATCGATTGAATCAGGCATGTTTGTATATATTTGGCCTTCATTCTTTTCTAGATATTTACTTTTTATTAAGCCCTTGGTACCAGCTCCTCTCCCCCCTCCCAGCCCTGACCCCTTGATAACTTATTATTATTTTCATGTCTTACACTGACTATTGTACCACTTACCCCATGGTTTCTGTTGTTCTTCCCCCTGTAGGGGGGTGTATGGTTGTGTGTCGATCATTGCGATTGGTTCCCCCTTTCCCCATTTTCCCTCCCCTCTTCCCCCTGCCCTTCTGGTATCACTATTCCCACTCCTGTTCCTGGATTCTGTGTGTCGTGAGCTCCCATCTCTTATCTATACCTGTGTACATGTTCCGGTCTAGTCTGAATTGAGAAGCTGCACTGGGGTCATGGTAGTGGGGGGTGAGGAAGTCTCAAGGAACCAGAGGAATAGAGTGTGTTTCATCGATGCTTTACTGCTCCCTGGTGACTCATCCCTTCCCTGTGCCCCCTCTGTGGGAAGCTTGTTCCACTGTTTACAGATGGGCTTTGGATCTCTGCTCCAGCCCCCCTTGTTCTCAAGAAAACTATATATTTTAATTTTCTCTCTGGCAAATCGCAAGCTTGGGAGTTTTTCAAATTACACTTCTCTATTAAATCCTCATATCGTCCTTCTGTCACCAATTCCCTTAAGCTACAGATATCCTACGACTCCCTTCTGTCACCAATTCCCTTAAGCTACAGATATCCTACGACTCAATAATAGTAGGAGTAACCTCAGATACCAGTTGGCCACTCTTAAACTGAATTTTCCCTGAGAGCCAAACCAGTAGCACTGCTATTTTCTTTGCCAAGTCATCACATTCAATTTCACATTCAATAGTACTTCCATAGCCTTTAAAAAAAATCATATAACATGATCTTATCTCCATGTGAAATGCCCAGGCTCTTAACAGACTCTAAGATGGTCTCAATGACTGTACCTACTAATGTTTCTACTCTTGCATAATCCTTCTCCCTTGAATCCAGGTAGACCTATGAATTGCTTCTAACCACTAACTACTGCAAAGGTGATAGGGTGTACATGATTATATTCTGTACCACTCTAACACCCTTATTATGAGGAGACTCTTACTTACTGACTTTGATAAAGCAAATTACCGTGAATGTGAGCTACTGAGGGTAGCCTCTACCCAACAATCAGAAAAAGAAATACAACAGTCTTCAAGGAATTGAATTCTGCCAGTAATGATGTACTTGACACAAGAGCCTTCCCCAGTCAAGCCTCAGATGAGAGCCCAGTCCCATCCAATATGCTGATTAACTAAAACCAAGCCCATTGCTATAGATTCCCACTTATCCCATCCACTGCCCTGGAGATCATTCTGACTTACAGTGACCCTACAGGGCAGAGTAAAACTTCCCCCTTTGAATTTCCAAGGCCATAGATCTTTATCAGGACAAAATCATGAAGGTTATCTGAAAAGATCCTGAAGGATGTTTCCAGTCTGTACAGTGGAAATAGCAAGAAGAAAAGCCCAGAGTACAGAAAGTTTTAAAAAACAGAGGAAGTCAAAGAGGACAGATCACGCAGGCACCTTGGAGAAACCTACTCTGTCACAGAAAGACTCTGAAGTGTCTCGAGTCAAGTGTGACATGAAGGTTTGCTTCTGTTTTGATGCTCACTCTGATGACTTACAGAAAACAAGTAAGGGTGGGGGCAGCAAAGAGGCAGGAAGACCAAAGAGGAGACCATGTCCGGAGAAAGATACTGTGGCCTGCACCAGGGAGCTAGTCTTAGGCATGCGAAGAGGTGCGACTATAAAGATGTATTTTGAAGGTATAGCTATAGCATAGCCCAAATGTAGAGCTTAAGAAAGATGAATTAATGATACTTAGGCCTAGGACATTAGCAATTACTTGAATACTAGTATCATTTACGTCAAAAGACGAAAGCCTGATATCTTCTTCTGGAGAGAAATCAAGAGTTATGCTTATACATAAAAAATTCTGCATGCTTATTAGAAAGTCAAGTAGAGATGTCAAATAGAAACTAGATACACAAGCTTACAACTAAAAGGGGAAGTTGACTCGGGAGTTGAAAACGTGAGCATTAGCCTACAGATCTAGGACAGCATGGGTGCAAGTCCAGAAACTGAGCAGAAGGAGAAAAGGTCCAAGGCCCGAGCCTCATGAAAACAGAAGGGAGAACCCAATATAAGCATCAGAGGAACTAATACAGCAAACTTGGGAAGGGCATTATAAGTGAATTAAGAGGAAGAATATATATATTTAATATTTATATTTGAGGGGAGATATTATGATATGCTTGTATGGTATCAAATATACAGAAAATATGATCAGAGTGAGTGGTGATTGTGGGATCCAAGTTCTTCACAAAAAGGAGTGGGATTGAGCATATACATGGAGTTTAAACTTTGGACATAACAAATAAAAGCCATTCGTGGAAAAACACAGTGTATGTATGGTGTTTACTGAACAATGAATTAGTATTAAAACATATGGAAGTCTCATCACGTCCATGCAAAATGCTACATGCAAAATCTAACATTCCTTCTAAGCTTAAAATCTTTAAGAAATACAAGGTTGATACAACTTTCCAAATCTAGTTAAAAGAACATCAGAAAGGATTTATTTTTTTCCACCCTTAAACGGTAGCAAAAACCTACCTGGACTCTCCACTCTTTTATAGTGGTATGGGTTGATACAAACTTCTTTTTGCTTGGATCCAAAAGGAAATTCACAAATATCCAATGGCTTTAGCTCGTG